ATATCAACTAGATAATACACTATTTGAAACAACGTCATCAACGTCAGGGGCGGACGCATCGTTATTTTGGACAGATTTATATTTCAAGGGCGGAGGGTGGGTTGGGTGCGACTACTTAGCTCAAATTTTAAGATCACAGCACTGTAGGCATCCTTTTTCTATTTTTAAGCAAACCTGTCTATTTTTTTTTACAAGATATCCTGAACATCCCTTTTTATCTTTCTGTCTATTCCGGTCTATTCATTCCATCCTGCCCGCATCAGGCATGGAAAATCATTTGCATTCATTTACATTCATTTGTCATTTAGAATTCCGCAAAATGATGTGTGGAGTTATAATAGGCTTTGTTATTAGCTGCAACTTTTGTTAACAACTCAAATCCGTATCTCTTATGCATGACGAACAGAAGCCACTACTGTTTTTCAGTGAATGTATTTTACATTCATTGAAAGACAGTATCAAGTTCTGCCCGCTCTAGTTCGTGATGCATAAGAGATTCAGATTTAAGTTATGGGCAAAAGTTGTAGCTAATAACAAAAGCTACAAAATCTCTGTACATCATTTTGCGGACTGCTGTTGATGAAAAAAGTTAGAGGCAAATGAATGTAAATGAATCCATGAAATGAATGTAAATGATTTTTCAGGCCTGGCCCGCATACCATAGCAGCGCTTTGAAATAAAATGCATCTGAATGAGTGTCGTTGCCCCTGCAAGATCTCAACAGCGGAATAGTTTAGAAAGCATCAAATATCTTCATGAACTCATAAAGGTGTATAAAACATAGGGCAAGACTTCATTGAGTATGTAGAACTTCATGCTCTTAGCTCTAGAATAGTTTGGAGTGCATAACATATCGTATTGATACCGTTCCATGTTGTGCGATAGGGTGGGTCAACTTTACAATCCTTTACTCTCCACTGCTCTTTCGATCTGTATTGAGGTCCCCTATATTTGTGGATGGAGCAAATGGTTGGGTTGGTTGGTTGGTTGGTTGTCTTTACTAAGGAGATTTTCAGCCAGACGCTGGTTCATCTCCGGGCGGAGCAAATGGATAGTAGAGTTTTTGATCTAATTTCCGACCTACTAAGCACATCCCGCATTTTAAATCTCTGTTTTAAAAGGGTTTGAACAAAACATGGAATGTTTTCATCAAAAATAACTCCTAAATTTATTCACCTTTCCATTGGATTTGATAAAGAGTCAAACAATTTTGAGATATTATTAAAAATCTAACACTGCTTCTTGATTCTAAATTACGTCCTACGAGTTTCATTTCCGTCCTAACGCATTGAAACGCCATTAGATTTTCTTCGTCCTACTGATGATAGTAGAAAAAGTGTATTCGCTAGAAGCGCTTCTTTAAAAAAAAAAAAAAAAACAAGTAGTGTAAATATTCAAACAATGCACTGTAATAGGCTTTATGTTATGGCTCATGAACTAACGGATCGGAACAAACGTATTATTGATTTGTGCACGGTAAAATCATTGATATTATTGATGATCTCTGCTCGATAGAACGGAAATGGGCGATTACGACGAAATAGCGCTCTTCCCTATTCCTAAGTAACCAAAAGTTCTAATAAAAGGTTATTTATGGCTTAACCAGGTTGGTTGATGGTGGTCTAAAGCATTCTAAGCAGCCTCATTTTTAAGTCGTAATAAGAACTTGAAAGTTCTGGTACCATTATTGAATAGCATTCTAAGCAGCTTCTGGTGGAACTTAAACGGAACTTTTAGAAAATAAATTAAAAAAAAAAGTTTTGCCCACTACACCATTTTAATATTTAGTTCGCTCTTTTATGAAAGTTGTTCCTAAAGCTAGTCCTTTATAATCATGTTAAAGATTTATTAGTACATATTAGTTTTCAGAATTATGAAATCATTAGATGTTATAATGATAATTAGTACTTGTAAGTTACAAGAAAAGGTCGTGAAGTATGTGTTTGTTGTATAAAACCTGTCAATTTCGCTTTCAGAGCGCCACAATAAGCGATTCTATGATTCGTGAGCGTTCACTCAGAGTGAGCGCTCACAAATCGTAAAATCGCTGATTGTGACGCACTTAAAGCAATATTGACAGGTTTTATACCTCAAACACATACTTCACGACCTCTTTTTTTAACTTACAAGTACTAATTATTATTATAACATGTAATAATTTAATAATTCCGAAAAACATTTTTTATAGCAACTGAGTGGAAGCAACCCTGATTGGAGGTACAATAAAACGCATTTAAACACGAGCAACATTAGCCAGAGAACGTGAACATCCAATTCAAAATGCTAAATAAATTTTTAACGGGGCATATAACCTAAAGGAGGAAGAATTGACGAGACTATCATTTTGTTTTGTAACATCAGAGGAAAATATAAAACTATGGCTGCCAAGCTTAATGAACAATATTGTGAAGCAAGAACAATCCAAGGAACACAAAACTTCACTCATTTATTCCTGTATCTAAAAATAAAATTAAAGCAAATCATGATGCAAAGGGTTTCAATCTGTTTAAATAGGTATTGAGTAGGATTAAGGAATGATCGTATATTTCATAAATGTAATTATGTAATGTGAATCAAGTAAACACCTAACACAACACTGTTTTATTGATTCCGTTTTTTATTAAATGAATGTTCTATTGAAGAGATACTATATGCGAACGATGTTACAAATGGTTGAATCATATTCTACATGGTTGAGACAATAACCCGAAAAGGTTATCAAGCACTTTTTATGATTGTTTCCTATTCCGGCGTGGTCGCTATTTGGATATTAGCTAGTCGTATATGAGAACTACAAAAATACACCTTTACCGGCCTCTTATTCATGATTCATTAACTCGTAGCTCATGTGTCTGATTTACAAACTGTAAGCTGCTAGCATTAAGGAAATTTATTGGGCGTTTTGTTGAAAATATTTTCAAAACTGGACACACATGAATAATATTCCAAAAGGGCTAAAGTTGTCCAAATTATACGATTTGTAATTTTTAATCAACGAATATCTCGAAAATAACAGCACTGGGCAATTAATGCTTTTTTTTTTGCAAAATAATGTATTTTAATATTTGCATTATTTTATAGATAGTTGATAACTGGGATGACTAGGATTTTGGAAAATGTTACTTTTTTCAATGATTCATAACTTTTTTGTTTATGAACTATCTGTGGAGTTTTGGCCTTTGCCGCAATGCGCGGCTATACCGTTGTAGCTGGAGCTACTTACCTGTACGTCCGTACCCTGTGGCTATCTGATGAGAATTCGCTGGATCGATGGCGATGCTTGCTATTACTCGTCGTATAACGGGGCAAACGGTTATCGCTTGCCGTGCCTGAAAGCCGAGGGGCTCTGCGATAGGTAGCTAACGGCTACCATCTCTACTCGAGGGGTATTGATACCGCACATCCCCCTCCTGCATTAAATAAATAATGCATTATTTAATTCAGCAGCTACAGAAACAAAAATAGAAGATTCAATTGTCTCTCTTTAAAAGTGACGTTACATATGTTTTTGGTCTGCTAATATAAATGCATATGACGCTCTTATCCTTGCCTTGGTAATCCAACTTATTGATCCGGAACGTCATCAATCACTTTTTCAAAAACACCCTTTTTTTTACGTGTGGCTGTCTCACTTTTTATTATTTTTTTTTTTTTAGCACATACGGATGAATTTTACGTACGAATGGTTTGTTTTACTTCTTATTTGTTTCCCTTTTGCACTCACTCCTGGTGAAGTTGTGCGTATACACAGAAGTTTTATAATTATGGGATGCCATAATCAAAAATATACAAAACATCGCCTAACTAAAATGTGAGTTCTGGTAAGTTTACCCTATTCTGGGTATGTCGTGTTTTTGCTAGAGTGGGTCGCCTGAACCCAATTTTGCGTACAACCGGACGAGCGTGTATATATATTTATAGATTTTCACGCCCGGTTGTATTGGTGCAATATGTGAGAGTGTGTCAGTGAATATCCGAGGAAAATACATAACAAATCGATGTCAAACTCATTTTGACAGATCTACTTTCATAATTTTTTTAGGTTAGCCAGAGGAAAATAATAAACAACTTTACACGGCGTTGCTCCCGCTAATGTGCGTGCGTTAAACGTCACTAATCTATATTGTAGGCAAACGAAAGGTTTCCATGGTGCTATCATTCGTTACCGTTGCTTAGAATAGTTTTGCTAGGTGTCTCCGGTTCAACGCTCAGGAAAAAAAAGAAAATGTGTTGCGGATCAAGGAATGCGATTTCTGATTAAACGAAAACGAATAACGTTTATTGAGAAATCTACGTCGTACATCGAACCCAAAAACAGACGATTGGATCCGCTAGGTGGGGAAAGCACGATTTGCAGTTATGGTCGGCAAATACAGGTGAAATTATTCCAATAAGAATACGCTTATTAGATTCCAGTGATTTTTTTTTTATGTATTTTAGTTCATGTTAATGCATCAGGAACGGAGAAACAATTGTGGTAAGAAAAAGTATAGTTTAGAAGAGTTAAGGTTGGAACGTAACTTTAGCTTGCTTTCAGTTAGTTTTCGATCGATTGTACGTAATCATTTAGATACGTGGGTGGTACTCTTTCCCTGCGTAGTCGAACTGATTGCTGCCCCGTTGGCTGACGGATTATTGTTGGGTTTTCATTGTCGGCATTGGTTTCACGCCACTTACCAACCTTTTTTGCCTGAGTAACGTGACGTTTCAAAGTCTGTCCTTCATCGTTTTGCAGGACAAGGCTTCCGTTGTCCTCCTGGATGACGGTATATCTTTGCTCATCGAATCTGCTGTCACCTTTTGTACGGTTTGATCGTTCGATAATAACCGTGTCACCCGGGCAAACGCGGCACGCCCGGGCTCCCCTTCGAGCATCTTCGCGTTCCTTTGCTTTTAGTTTTTTCAATTTCGTCTCTACGATTAAGAGTATCTTCGTCGAAGTTTGCTTTTGCGTGGTGCAGCAAGGGTAGCCGGCGCTTGATTTTGCGCCCAAGCATCACCTCCTCTGGTGGCACACCAGTAACCGCATGGGCAGCGGCATTATGAGCGTTCACCGCCGCTTTCAATGCCTCTTTGAAACACGTTCCGTTACTCACCGCTGTGGCCATCGCCTTGTTCATGATCTTCATGTAGTTTTCGACGAGGCCATTTTGCTAAGGAAACAAAGGGGTGGAAAAAACGGTCTCGATACCTCGGTCGGCACAATAAGTTTTGTACTCATCGCCATTGAACGGCGGTCCATTGTCGGAACGAATACATTTAGGAAAACCTTCTCGTTCAAACACCTGTTCCAGCACAAGCCTGGTTTGATCAAAGCTGGTCGATTTTACATGTCGAGCAATCAAGAATCTGAGTGAAGAATAGAGGAATTAGAAATGTACGGTAAAAATGTTTGTAGATATTCACCTTGAACGGTAATCGACGATCAATAATATTGATATACCCCCGAATCTCGCGTACGGTCCATTGAAATCCAGTGCTATAGTTTCCCAAACGGCTTGTGGAGCAAAAATTCTCCTCATCGGTGTTGGTTTCTCCGGTCGACCATTCATTGCGCAGGTTTGGCAAGCATTGACCCATTCTTCGGCGTCGGTTGTGATGCCAGGCCACCATACCCGTTCTCGCAAAATACTTTTGAGTTTAGCGGCCATTGGATGCCCGTCATGAGCGAGGTCAAGAGCTTTTTCTCGAAGCTTGCTCGGTACCACTGCGCAACCGTTCTTAATCACAATTCCATTGTGAACTGATAGGTCGCTTGCTACACTCTCGAATCTCTTGAGTTCTTTGGGCCATATCTGAGTCTCTAGTGCATCGATAACATTTTGTATAGTCGAATCTAAAGCAGTTTCGTCTCGGAGCTCTTTTTCTGTCAAGAAGCCTACCGAGTTTGCCTCAAGTACGGCCACCTCCCATGGACTGTGCTGCTCATCGAAAGGTTCATCGACGCCTACATACAACCGGGAAGGCGGGTCGGCGATATTGTCGCGACCACGAATATATTCTACGTTGTAGTTGTATGGGCTAAGACGAAGTGCCCATCCATCAGCCCTTGTTAGAGCCCTCTTTGAATTTTCACGGGAGCGGTTCAATATGAACGTTACGCCTTGCGCGTCGGTCCGTAATGTGAAGTGTCGCCCAAGAAGGAAGAAAGAAAAATGTTCCACCGCCCATACGGTGGCTAAGGCTTCACGTTGGTTCTGTGCCAGTTCTTTGCAGTAGTTACTGACCACAGTGTGCTTGTGATGTTGGCAAAATCTTTTATGTAGGGGCTGAGAAATGACGCCATTCCTAAGAAACTCTTCAGTTCAGACACGCTGGTTGGAGGCCGGAATCTTCTAATTGCCTTTACCTTAGCTTCATCAACATGGAATCCAGTTTGGTCTAGTCTATGACCCAAGAACATCATGGAATTCTTGTCGAACTCACATTTTTCCACATTGAGAGTAAGGTTGTGCGTTCGGAGAATTCTCAGTACATGGCCAGTAATTGATCTGAGCTTCTCGAGCGTGGCGGCAAAAATGAGAATATCGTCGATGTATACGATGACGTTACTGATTCCTTCTAGTAGGCGACACATCTCTCGCTGAAAGATCTCTGGTGCACAATTCACACCAAACATGAGGCGAGTGAACCGATACATACCACTCTCTGCCAGAAAGGTCGTGAGGTCACGTGATTCTTTGCAGAGTGACAAGTGGTAAAAAGCATTACTCAAGTCTAACTTTGTAAAGAACTTCGCGCCATTAAGTTTTACCTTCATTTCTTCAATTAAAGGCATGCGGAAGTATTCTCGTTGTATTGCCTTGTTTGGTGCGCGCATGTTAACCACTAGGCGAAAGTCGTTGTTTCCTTTCGGTACTGCTGACATACCACTTATCCATTCTGGAGCTTTTACCACGCGTTCAATGATTCCGCGCGCTTCCATATCTTCTAAACGTGTTCTGGCTGCTTCCCTGTAGGCAGCCGGGACGTTGTAATATGCGTTCTTTTCAGGAGGGATAGATGCGTCTACACTAAATTTTACGCTTACGCCTGGCATTTTTGGGAAGGTTTCCACGTTAGTGGTTGTTTCACAGTTGTTAACCGACAGGCCCACCTCCAAGAGTCTCAACTCACTAGCTGTGCGCCGCCCTAGTATTGATCGACGACCTCCATTCACGACGAGAAATTCTGCGGAGACGATTGGCTTAGACGCTTTTATAACTTCGACTTCAGCTCTAAATGCTCGGCGTACAACCATCGGCGCTGTTTGTGCATACGCTCGAAGATCTCTATGAATGAGGTGGTCGATAGGTAACAACTTAGCCGTTTTGTTAATGAATTCATTTTCCAGGAGTGTCCAATCGTTTTCCCCAACAATGTTCACGTCGGAACCCGAGTCAACCAGGAAATCATATGGACTGGACGAGCTAAGACGACAACTCACAATTGCATCATTTAGAGATGCAACTGTGTTTATCTGCTAGGGGAGGAAAACATAAATAAATAAAGGTGGCTGGTGGAGGGGTTTTTCAATTTGTGTGTGTACAATTACTATGTGAGCCTTGGTGTGAGCCACATACTGTTGAATAGTAAGAGTTAAATGCAGTTCATACAGTTTATTGTGATTTATCTCTCGGTCGAACTACAGATAAGTACAAAATAAAAAATAAAAGAATAGAAAAAAAAAACAGTTTTATACCTGATCGTTGTTCGGATCCTTTTTCCACTCGCGTGAAACCATCGGCCTTGATTCCTCCTCTCGAATGTTGTTGACATGATTCTTGCGGCACATTATAGCATAGTGCCCTTCGCGTCCACAAGAATTGCATCGCTTGTCCAAAGCGGGGCATTTGTCGCTTTTATGGAACATGAACCCGCATCTCCAGCATCGAGATCTTCGTCCTTCACGGTAGTTCTGCGAAAATCCCTATGGCCTCTTCGGATTGGTGGCCCTGCGTTCCTCAATTTTCTTGAAACTGCGTGAGGGTTGGCTTTCGTGATTAGTTCGGCTAGGCGCTTTTTCACGATCGACAGCATAAACGTCGGAGCTGTGTTCAGTAACCACTTCATCAGCTTTGTATGCTTCGACCCTTGTACCAGCTTGTACGATGTAGTTTGCATTGTGTCCGTACGTTCTGGCAGCCACTGCTAGCTCTCTATTTTGCATGCCTTTGAGTTGCTGAGCCAGAATGAAACGGGTTTGATCGGTTGGGCTGTATCCGCAGAGGCGCACCTTCTGAGTCAGTCTAGCGTGGAATGCTACGATTGACTCTCCCTTAGCCTGACGCATGGCCTGAAATGCGTCGTGTTCTGCGGCTGTATCAGTCATAGACTTGAAATAATTGTTGATACCTTCGACTAAGGTTGAATAGCACCTAGGATCATGATAGTTTGGTTGCAGATTCGCTGCGTTTATAATGTCCTGAAGGTTCTTACCAATTGTCAGGTATAGGAGTTTGGCACGGTCTGAGGGACATCCAAATGTTGACAAGGATGCCGCAATCTCGAAATTTTCGATGAAGCTTTGCCAATTCTCCCATAAGTTGTTTGATGGGATATCTTTTGGGAATTTTGGGATGAGGTCCCAACGGATGTTGCTTCCTTTGTCGATATACCCAGGAAACGAAGATGAGTCCGGACCTAACATATTGTTTTCGTCACACTGTTCTACCATTGGGGTCTCAAATCGGCGTTGTTTAGCGATGTTCTCAATCATCTTCTCTAGCTTTCGCAGTCTGCTATTAACGTCATCGCTGTGAAGCGTTGGAATTTCCGTCTCTACTGTTTCGTGAGCCGCCACCTCCAGCTCATCCGCCCAATCCAAACTTCCGTCGTTCAGCTCGTCCATTACGCTATCATCCGAATCATCGACAATGGGAGTTAGTTCTTTCTGATTGTCGTCATCGATCGGCGCTCGCACGTATCTTCCGTCGTTTGACATGATGTTCAACTAGGCGGGGAAAAGAAAAATGCTTTAGTCCATTATTAATTGACATGGGCTAGCTTGGCAATATATATTTTATTTCACGGAATTTTCTCTTATTTTAATTTTTGGCAAGGCAATTCTGGGCATTCATCAAATGGTATGGAATCCGCCCGTATTTCTGATAAGAAAAAAAAACATGATAGACGGCGCATTTGGAAAAGCATTTTTTAACTAGAACTCCGGTGGTCTTCCAGTCGCATTTTGCGATTTGTATAATCGACAAACGTTCTTCGGTGCTTTTCACACCCCTTGTGGCGTTTCTACCCATAACCTCATTCTGGTGGTCTTCTAGACGCACATTGAGGTATCCTTAACCACAAATCATGTTCCGGCGGTCTATTAGACACGCCTTGTGGTATCCCTAACCACAAATCATGTTCCTGCGGTCTTTTAGACGCGCCTAGTGGTTTCCATAACCACAAATCATGTTTCAGCGGTCTTCTAGACGCGCCTCGTGGTTTCCATAACCACAAATCATGTTCCGGCGGTCTATTAGACGCGCCTTGTGGTATCCCTAACCACAAATCATGTTCCGGCGGTCTTCTAGACGCGCCTCGTGGTTTCCATAACCACAAATCATGTTCCGGCGGTCTATTAGACGCGCCTTGTGGTATCCCTAACCACAAATCATGTTTCGGCGGTCTTCTAGACGCGCCTCGTGGTTTCCATAACCACAAATCATGTTCCGGCGGTCTATTAGACGCGCCTTGTGGTATCCCTAACCACAAATCATGTTCCGGCGGTCTTCTAGACGCGCCTCGTGGTTTCCATAACCATAAATCATGTTCCGGCGGTCTTCTAGACGCGCCTTCTAAATGATCAAAACAATTCCAGAAAGCTCCTGGCAGGATCGCCAATGTGGAGTTTTGGCCTTTGCCGCAATGCGCGGCTATACCGTTGTAGCTGGAGCTACTTACCTGTACGTCCGTACCCTGTGGCTATCTGATGAGAATTCGCTGGATCGATGGCGATGCTTGCTATTACTCGTCGTATAACGGGGCAAACGGTTATCGCTTGCCGTGCCTGAAAGCCGAGGGGCTCTGCGATAGGTAGCTAACGGCTACCATCTCTACTCGAGGGGTATTGATACCGCACACTATCCTACTGAAACACAATTGTCAGTAGGACACACGTTATTTTTACTAAAAAAAATATTTCCAGTCTTCTTGATATGATGCCTTTGATAAAACATGAATGTAAATTGATACGAATTTAAAACAAATAGAATTAAAAAAATAATAACACGTTACATGGGCTGTCTGCCGCTCATCGCAAGTCAGTAGACAGCAAACACAACAACAAATAATTTCGGAAAAATTCACAATTATCTCATTTAACACCATCAAGCCTATATTTCTTCTTCAACATTGTTCTAATACAATACTAAAACGACAGATGCATAATTATTTCGATTACAACCCTTTGTTAAAGTATACTTTTTCTGGAACAGGGCCCTTTTCCTTAATTTGTGCGTAAAAGTCAGGCTCTAGTATCCGCATCACATTGGTATTCAGAGATGCAGTTTGAGAAAACAATGCACACGCTGTTGGTACCATCACAGTTAAGCTAAAAAATAGTGAATAAAACTGTAATGTCTTTATATTACCAATGACAAATTACTTACAAGCATCCTACTACCATTACTTGGAATGGGGCATGTAAAAATGAAAATCTACGGAACGATTTATATTTTTCCAAGTTTTCCATTATGACCGGCAAAATCAACATTCCTGGAGCGCACATTGCTATGCGTGAAAATATCACCTAAAAAAATAATAAACAGATAAATATCAGGGTTTTAAGAATAAAGTGTGCTCTAGAATAACCCCTCGGTATATCTTAATTGCAAAACATTATCAGGCACAGGGTCAGCCAGCAGTATAATACCAATTGTCTGGCATCACGTCTACTCGGGCATCGATCAGGCTCCCGATCGGTTTAGGCCTCGATTGTGCAGTGCAGTCGACCACTCGCCTTTTCACAAGTGTGGTAAGCTGTACGGATTTTTTGATTTTCAACGAATCTTTAAGAGGTTTTTATGTATTTTTTTTTTAAGTGTCGAAAAAGTTCAAGGGTTTCTAAAAGTTATGGCTCGCCCGTGCATCAATTGAAAAAAAGCATACGTAGAAGAATCCCTCTCAAGAATCTATTGAACAGCAATGTTTTTTTTTTCGATTTTGTAACAATAAGTTATGTAAGCCCCGTAATGTGGGAAGATCACCTTTTCGTGGTACGTTACGGGATGTAAGATCTACCACCGATTCCTAGTCCCGACTACTTCAAACTAGGGGAACAGGATTTTTCAGTAATCAAAGGAACACATCTTAGTCCTTGTTACTTTTTATGCCTTGTTGATAGACTCGGCTTTGTCCACCGAGGATGATCTTGTACCAAGGAAAAAATGAGTTAGTTAGTCTTCATCTATGTGGTCCCTAATCTTCTATTCGTTGTTCTCTAGTTTGAAGTGGTTAAGAAACACTCCGAAGGGTATAAATAGCGGGACCTTTCAATTAGTGTCGGATCCTCGCGATAAATGCAAGAATGACAACTGTAAAAAATCGAATACTTCATCATTTCTTACTTACTTAGTGATGGAGTAATACAACATGCCTAAACTAAGGACACGGGATATACTACAATAGATCAAATAACTGTTCGCAGTGGTTTTAGGTCCCGAACAAACAAAAAATGTAAGCTTGACCCCCCTCCATGCCTTCCGTAAGTTGTGCATGATGCCCAACTTGCTTTCTGCATTTCCTAAGCGCGATCCATCCATGTCCGCAAAAGAGCATTTTACGAGACAGGAGGCAGATACCTAACCACTGCGAGAAGCAACATCAATAACATCAAATTATGACAGGTAAACTGGCTCCTGTAATATCGTAAAATTTACTATGCTTCTAGCGTGCTCGTGCATCTCCCCATTGCGCACCTATTTTTCTCTTCAACATTCCATAGTTCCCACTTCCACTCATTGCATTCACCGTGAGGGGTATTCATTGATGGGAACATTTGCATCCGATCGCATCAGTTCGAACAAACAATGCGAATGGATTGAGGCTGAAAAGAGGACAGCAAGAATAGCATGAATACTGCTCTCTCACAGAGACTCTCATGTAAACATCGTTCGGTCCGTTCGAGAATATTTGCTTTCCTTTCGTTATTTGAGTACGCTCTTAATTTAAGTTCTTTATTTATTTTCGTGTATAGGGGAAACACTCCTAATGTTACGTTGCGGTAAGTTAGAAGCATATGGTTCCTATGTGTATGGAGGTCTCCACACAACATTAGGAACCTTTTGCTTCTATCGTATCGCAACAATAGGAGTGTTTCCCCAAAAACACATGAAACACATGTTTTTCACTATTCCACAAAGTTTGTGTACTTTTTCCAGAGTTTAGTATTTCAACAATAGTTACCTGGCTTATTCCTTTTGCTGCCGCTACTCTACTTTTTCCAACGTTATTACCGTTTTCATCCTGTATGTCAATACCGTATATTAACTCATTTTGTCGCATAAGCGGTATATTGATACAATTTGCCACTGCAACGGCAACAAATGGAACGTAACGCTGAAAGAAAGGGCTTGCTTTTTTCGTCAGGTAGCTTTTGTATCCAACAGCTGCCACCAGTGCTGAACTCGTTGCTGAAACGTAAGAAACTACCAATTGTGTAGTAGTTAGGGATGAATTTGCATTTCTATTAGTATAATTCACTAATGCATTGAAAGATTGGTTGACCCATTGCCAAAAGATAATAGCTGAATTAGTTCTGTAGACAAATAAGCTGCTGTTAATACCAGATAAAAAAAGATCAATACCATGAGTACCTATAGAATTGCAGCATTGCACCGGTGATAGCCATTCCACCAGGCATCTGAAAACTCATGCGCCCGAATATGTTCTGTAGTTCACCGCTATCCGGGTGGAACGCACTTTCGTATAATTTTTTTGCGCGATAAATTTCTTCTATCGATACATTTGATGGTTGTTGTTTATCACTCCTGAAAAATATAAAACGAACAATCAATACAATCTCAAGTACAGTCCAATATATTTACTTAAATATTTGAGTCAACGCACGAGAGTTTCGTGAAAACAAGCACGTCGTTCCAGTTAACTGATACACAGGATGCTCGAAATAGTCCACGAAGTACATCCATGAAGGAGCATGGCACCACATGGGCCCTCCTGATGTTTTTCATCCACACAGAATACTTTTAAGCGATTTTTTTCTTTGATTTGTTTTTCCGTCGATCTTGTTTCCCGTACTAAGTTCCAATGCTACAAACGCCAGGAAGGCAGGGCAGCTCTCACACCTGGACCTTCCTATCGACCCATCAACTCATGGACCAGGGAACAACGGCTTTACTTCCCTTCCGAAGGCGTGATCAGAGATTTTATGCCTCAGAAAATCCCGGCGGCGCCGACTGGTATTGAACCCAGGTCCTATTTTAAGCTGTTCAAACAATTTTAAAATTTAAACAGACATCCCAAACACCCGGTTATTGCAATACAATCTCTCATAATTGTCAAAAGAGATCAATACCATCTGCTGCTTCAAAATCATCCTAAAAATCACCTTCTATCGACATCATAAACGCCCTGCTTTTGCAGTTCTACTTCCAATAATAACATATTTAAGGAGATTTGTAGTGCATATATCCTACGCAGGCGTGGAAGCTGCCTTCCTGCACATTCGATTGCCGTCAATGGATGACAATCGATGTCCGTCGGTGATTGGCACTGATTGCGAGACCGACGATAAATAAAGGAAAGAAAAGAAGAAGATTTGTAGTGCTTGGGCCCTGAATACTAGAAAGAGTAGTCTGTTGCAATCATCCTAACCCCTATATGCATCTCATTGATATGAGCTATGACAAAATTCTTGATTGTTGCCCCCGTGCTTGTACACTCATAAAATAAATCACATAACCAGTGGAAAATATCCATGTGAATTTCACATAGCTTTAATGTGATCCCATAATTGGAAATTGCACCATTAAATCACATGAAATTTATGTGTCCAATGAAATCTATATGATTTCTCATATAGAATTTCTTATGCTATGTGATATTCAGATAAAAATCATTATTTTTGTTATTGGAAAAATATTCTGTGCGTTCCTAATAGAAGCTAAGTGATTTTTTTTTCAGTGTAGCGCAATGAGCTGGATTACCGAGGTGAAGCAATCGGTTAAGTTGTGTGAGTAAAACCCCTGTACGATACAAGCAATTAGTGACGTCACTACTTGCGTTTACGTTGATTTTTTGGTTTACTAATACAACAATATTTCACGATCTGCTTCACCTCTCTCTGTACCTCATTGCTTGTAGCGGTCATGATAAATCAAGCTGAACATTGCATTAGGCCCTAACAAACTCTTCGTCGAATTTCTCTTTCGTTAATAACTTGAGCACATAACCGTTTCTTGTTGTGTTTGACATATTACATGCTAGATATAAACTTTTTTTTATCGATATGTGCACGGAAAATACCTGGGAATGTCTTTACATGGTCGTAGGGATACAAAGAGAAGGTCGACGAGTCAATTTTACTTAGGACCTAATGCAATGTTCAGCTTGAAATGTTCATGGGAACGTTTATCACCGTTAATTATTAGGATTATTATTTATGATATTCGTCATTTTCATTTTCATAATTTATCACGACACTTTTCAAATAAACCAATCTACATTGATCGATTCTCTTCATCGACTCTCTCTTTCGTTAATAACTCGGCTAATCATACATTCTTTTAACAGACTGCACACAGAGTTTAGATAACTGAAGTCGGTAAAATTTTACTGGGTTTTTAAACAGCTGAGTGTTCAGTAATCAACTTAGTAGTTTATTCTTTAACTGAAAAGTCCGTAAATGTAAATTTACGTCCTGGAATGTAAAAAAAAATACCATTTCAATCAGTAAAATAATTGCTGACTTTTCAGTAATTTATTTTTTGTTCTTTTATTACTGAGTTTTTCCGTTCTTTTATTTAAGTATATTTATGAATAAATATTAATGAATAATAAGTAAAATATTTGGGATTTTTTATTATTTTTTATTGGAAGACTGAGGTTAACTTGTTTAGAGGCGGAATAGCAATGATTCTGTTAAAACTAATCCTGATCTAGTCTAGCTTGAGCGCTCAACGCTTTCTCGTGGTTTTGTCGGCTCATTGCTTTCTCGGAGTGCTAGATTGCGTGCCCAAGTCTGAAGCTCTACTAATGGAACATCTGGAAGTCCGTGAATATTTCTGAATATTTCTGCACTTCTGTTTTTTTACGTTGAATTACTTCTTTCGGAGGTGCAATTTCAAAAAACCAAAATCGACTGCATTACGAAAAGTGGTCAGGTTTTGACCATATCTAACCTTCTAATAGCGGATGGATTTTAATTCTAAACAAGCCAATCGATTGGATACTTTTCTACAAATCTGCTAAAATGAACACTTTATCAATTTTCAATTCGTCACTATTGAAAATTACACAAATGTCCAACTGTTGCAATGGTGATCAAAATTATCACCAATTTCCTGCAAAAAACGCTTTCCCTAACACAGATTTCAAAATTGAATTCCATACGGTCTCACCGAACAGTGTTTATTCAATCACCGCGTGTGGTGAGTGGTGGTGTTCTCTAGTACACAACGAAAGGCTCCACACAGCTGCTCGTCGTGAGTCGCTGTGGGCCATCTAAGCCAAGCGCGTCACCCTCGTTTCAAACAACATACAGCTCGCCAGCCTCATCCGTGTTGAACACACCGATACCGTAATAGTTCAAAAAATGACGAAAACACTAGGATATAAATGTTCTTTCAATCATTTGACAGAATCTCAATCATCTGTATGCAACTGATAAACACTGCTTCCACCTTCTCCAAGAACATCAATTGAATACTACTATGCCATCGCACTTCACCAAACTATTCATCGATAGATCCATATTCAACGCATAAGTACGGCTATCATCTCCAAGAACATCGAGGAAAAAATACACAGCGTTGTTTTTAACTGACTTTCAAACTTCCAACCCATCGGTCCTTTTCAGGACCACAAATGGCTGATAAATGAGTTCAAGACATATGGTCCAGGATTGGCTTGTACTACCTGGACACCGTATCGGAGACGAACCTGACCAGGGCTGAAAGTCTCCTTAATAAAGATATAAAAAAAGTACCTGGGCACCGACAGAGCACACAAACAGAACTCAAAACTATCGTTCGTAATCTTACGTCAAATATACGGTCGTGTCTTGGATGCAACCTTTTACTTTTTTCCAGTCGTTTAACTAATTTTCACAAACATATTGCTGTTTTCACACATACATTTCTGAAATTTAGTGTGCGAGGTTGAACGGAGGAGGCTGACGTAAATGAATCCAATTTACTGGTGTGATCAGTAATTTTGGAATTTTTGAATTTCGTTTCATGCCTGTTTCAGTCATCCATAACCATAACATAACCAGTACTGAAAACTCGATGTTCTATTTATTTTTCTGAGCTTTCTAAAATTCACCGTAAAGCTGTCATTTTACAGTCAATTCAGTACTTACTATTACCGCATTCAGTAGTTTGTTGCAAAAACAACTGAACATCAGTCCGCATCGTGCTCTCTGGCCGTGCGGATCTATTTGCTTTTTGCTGAAGGAAGTGTTACTACCTAAAGCTACAACAAATTTAAACAGTACTTTTCAGTGCTCAACCTGTAAAATTTCTACCTTATTCAACTCTTATTCCTCTTCGATCCTTGTTTGGACCCTACCTGAGTCAATCCTTCTTGGATATCGATTTGGAAAATTCCTCTTCGATCCTTCAGATTATTATAGTAACATGCTTGGAAGTCGATTTGGATAAAAATTTACTACCGCCATGGCACCTAAGCGCAAAAGAAAGGGGCAAACTATTGACCCCCTTCTGATAAAATTAATTTGAGTAATCAATTTGATTTGCTCACGGATGATGATCCAAGAAAAAATCTAGTAAACTTTCCCGGCTTAATGCCAAGAAGGAAAAGATTCCCCCTATTGTGATAACCACTTCCGATTTCCATGCTCTTTGCATGGAACTTTTGAATTTCGTGAAAGTTAAGTTTTTATTACAAATTGGACGTCGGGGTGAATGCCGTGTATTGGCTGAAACCTTGGACGGATTTAAATGTCTTCTCAAGTATCTTACTGAGCAGCAGCATAATTTTTTTACTTACGACACCAAAACTGAACGTGTGTTCAAGGTTGTCATGAAAGGACTGCCCAGTGGTGAATCCCTGGATCAGAGCAAAGATGAACTGGCAAAATTACTTGGAGTTGTGCCACTCCAAGTAATCAAAATGAAAATGAAATCCCGTCCTGGCGATTCGCGCAACAGGGATTTCTAATGATTTTTATTTAGTACACTTCAAATCTAGTGAACTAAACAAGCTTAAGGCCTTGGAAAAAGCTAGCCTTATGCTCCATGTCCGAGTGAAGTGGGAACACTTCAGGAAGACTGGCGGAAATTTGCAAAACCTCACCCAGTGCCGTAAGAACCAGGGATGGGGTCACGGAACTAAAAATTGCTACATGCCAGCTAAATGCATGAATTGTGGTGATTTCTCTCACGCAAAGGATACTTTCCTGTGATCCTAAGAAATTTAAATGTTAAAATTGTGTTGAAAACCACAAATCTAATTTTTGGGCATGTAAGACTCGCAAAGCGATCCTACAATCTCGTTCCAAGTGACAGGTAGGAAACGCTCCACATTTCCGACCAGATACAAATTCCTCTGTTGTTAAAAACGGTCAGCGAGGAACAAATTCTACATTCGTACCCGTAGGTACAAATATCACCCCTGCTTCAAATTTTCCATCTGTACCTACTCCCCTCGCTGCTAACAATGTTCAGCGAGTTAATGGAGCTACCTATGCTGCTATTGCAATGGGTAGAAATCAAAATACTAACCAACGTAATTCTAACGGAAATTTTGACAAATTTTACTGCCCCTAAAATGGAATTTTTACAGAAATCATTAATTGACATGATTTCTGATATGCTTAAATCTAACTCCATG